AATGTGATCATTGAAGGCAGGCAGATGAGAAGTTCGTTTGAAAAAGGAGCGAAGCTATGGGAACAGGATACTTGCATCAATTTCACACGGAACCCATTCGGTAAGAGAAAACTGAAATTTATAGAGATGTGTTTTCCTTGCTCTAGATACGATACTCGGCCTTCCAACAGTCTGGATTGCACCATAAAAGGTTATTGTTTCAGCCAAAGATCGCATCATGGTATTCCCGGAAGATGGATGTTGGTCTTACGTGGGAAAGCTCGGCGGTGAACAGAAACTGTCACTGGGACGTGGTTGTGAAACGGTATCTATCGCTGCGCACGAGCTGGTCACGCTCTTGGATTTCTTCCATACAATGTCCCGACACGATCGTGACGACTTCATCACGGTAAACAAGCACAATATCAAGGTACGTGCTTGACAGAGCCCCTTGTAAATCACAACTAGAGTTTATTAATCGTTGCTCCTATTGACTTCTGTATCACTACGTTACAAAATGGAATACCCTCTTCCCGACCCACTTCTTGCAGCATAAGTTTCGTTTCGTTTTTTAGTTCCTCAACTATGAAAAGAGTGTGTCATTCCTGAACTCACCTGCGAGACACACCAACTTGAGTGACATTTTTGAACTCAGGACTGAAAATTCATTGACCCCCCACGGTTCCGGAACACTAAATTGCCCTATGCCGAATTACCTTAAGATGACTGCGAGCGACGTGCGCCCTTATGCTAGTACCCGCTCTTAAATGCAAGGGCGTGTAACAGAGTTTCCACTATATCGAAATGTGCCGACTGGAGTAGCATGGTAAATTCGCATTTTCCCAAGCTGAAGAAGGTTAGCTTAACGCGTTGTGGGGGAAAACATATTAGTGCAGCAGGAACTTAAGCAAATTTTGAAAACATTGAAAGCTTCATGTGTTCTGGAGCTTCTGTACATTACCTCAAGAGTTTGACTAATGACAGAATCGATTAGAGGATGAGGATGGTTTGGCTCACAAATCCGCCTTACCACAATTTTTGGCAATCTACGTGATAGTCTTCAAAAAATAAATCAATTCTCGGTCGTTATTGAAGAGAAATGAGGAATACTCGAAATCGTGGAGAGTGGTACTTTCAGGTAGACTGGCTAAGTCAATTCAATAAAGAAACAACGAAAACCAACGACAATTACAACATGACATACGACTACGGCAGCATTATGCACTACGGCGGAACTAGGTAGGTTTGGAAAAAAATGAAACCACTTTCGCATCATGACCACGGTGCTTCAATGATGCAATCGTTATCCCACAAATTCGAAACAAGTCAAAATTGGTATCTCATATGCAATGTTGAGAATCATATCTAGATGATGACTCACTGTTGTTTAGTGCATCGTTCAACAAAAAGCCAACAATGGTTCCGTTCGATGTGGATTATCAGCAAACCCTTGGGTCTCCATTCATTTCATTCATCGAACTTTCAATGCTCAATGAACACTATGGATGCAAAGGTTTGACAGCCAGCTTCAAAACACCTTTTCACAGATATCGCGTTCGCAGATGCTGATCCTTAGCGGGTGGAATTCTCTCAAAAAAAATTCCATTCAGTGCTTGTTGGTCCGCAAAAAAAGGCAAGGACTAGAATTTTTAGCGGTAACTCTTACCTTTTCGGCATACACCACTCATTCTGCTCTTCTTCAAAGTTATAGTGGCATTTAGGTGGCTTCTGAGATGTCCTGTGCAACGTGGGACAAGGCCAGCCGATGTAACTCATTTCTTGTTAACTTCCCAGACAAGTTTAGTACCAATGCCCATGTTGTAAAAGACCCTAATAACAAAGGTGATTTCAATATGCGGGAATTGGTGAACAGAAGTATGTTCGGTAAGCAGCGCCACTCATTGCCACCCTACCTCCACCATCCTGAACATGCTGACAAATGGCTAACAACTGAAACAAGTTCCGCTCTTCTTATAGCGCTATCTGTTACAAAGTTCAGAAAACTGCAACAAAGCCACATCCGTCAAATGCGAGATGGGCGGATTTCCTCACCCACGAGACTGCCAGAAATGCATCTGTCCTGGTGGTTACGCTGGACCCCGATGCACTGAGAGAGTGAGGAAGGAATTAGATATACTCGTCATAAAGGAATTGGTGCCGAAAGCGTTTACTTTAGCCATCAACAGGGTGCGGCGATACAATTAAAGCTTCGCCTAATTGGACGACACTTGAGAATACTGTTGGCCTTGGCCGTGACGAGCAAGAAGACTTTGAGACATGTCACTACTGGATTGAAGTAAGTCTTACGTCCGCAAACAAGCAGGTCAATACTCAAATGGCATGCTCACCGTAATTTTGATTAGCATGGGCTAAATGAAAGGGCGATTTCTGATGACTATCTCTGAGTGTCCAGTGATGACAAACTCATCAGGCCACTAATTATGACTGGCTCGTATTTTGCAGTCTCCTAACGGAACCGAAATCGAAGTGAGACTTGTGAATTTCACAAAAGGTCTTTCTGTTGACGGATGCAGTTACGCAGGTGTAGAGATCAAGACCAATGAGGACCAAACGCTCACTGGTTACAGGTATGTTGTTAGTATAAATTAAGAGAGTGAGAAGGTCGACTCGAATGAAGAGGAAGAATTCGATCGGAATGACTGTTTGGCAGTCTTTCACAGAACAAGAATCAGATTCACAAAACCATGTCATGCGGAAGCCCTGAAAGGCGCAGTGAATTGCAGATTCTGCTCACCTGACGCGGCTGGAACAATTCTTCGTTCTTACATAAACCGTGTCCCAATAATGACATATAACAGGATTGTCAAAACGACGACAGTGCTTGAATACCGACACGGTACTGCTTTATTATTTCTTGTCTTGAAATAACTAAGATCAACCTAAAGCATCTAGTTCCTGCAAATTCACCAAGACCTACGACTTCTACCACCACTACTACTACAACTACGACAACAACAAGGCGACCTGTTCCGTTCATAAACATACAAACCGACTCTAAATGCGAGGACAACCATTCGTAAGACGTTCCCGTATCGCTGGTTCCCCGTCAAAAATTACCAGAAGATGCTTTCAGTTGCCTCTCTCTTGTACCGAGTGGTTTCTGCAAGGGTACACTATCGGAGGCTACCAAGAAGAAAGTGTGTCCAAGATCATGTGGCTTCTGTGATTCTTTGCGTTAACTGCACTGAACCGCAATAAAGTTTTCAAGGATCGATCTAGTCTTTGCTAAGTTTGTCTGTTGGTGTGTTTTTGGATGTACAGGGGGGGGGGGGCAAAAAAAGTCACTTTTCTTCATTGACTTTCGTGGCGCTATAAGTTACACTTTATAAATTCTAATCGGACATTTCTACCACCATATTAAAGAGCATATTAAATACTATTATAAAACTCCGCCACAGCCTTCTGGACGAGCGCCATCGAGAGATTCTGGCACGCGACCGCGATGTGGTGCCTAACCAGGGAGGTCGTTCAGGACGTGGCGCGCTTTTTGGAAACGGTTTTTTGCATTGTGTAGGGGCACGTTCATGGACTACCAAACTGACGTTCATTTTTCCTAAATGGCTCTTTGAATACCAAAAAAGGAGTGAAGAAGAATTGAATAGAAACCGATTGGTTTTGAGCCCCTCTGGGCTCCAAATCACTTGCAACTTTGACCAGTTGCTGAGTAGAGGGTCCTTATAAAGGCACTATAGGAATCGAGGAGGAAAATAGTCGCAAATGGGGTCTTACTTGCGCACGTGATTGAGAGTGAACGGCTCTGAGCGGCTTGTCGGAATGGTTTCTTCAACGGATCGGAGCGGTGTTCACCTACAACGAGCGGGTGGCCTAGTGGATAGCGTGGAGGGTTATCAATCGGTCAATGAGGGTGAGTGTTGATGGTTCGACTCCCCTAGGCGTGCGAGTTTTTGCATTTTTTTAGTTTCGCTATCCTCGCTTCCATAAATGTCTGTGCATGAGTATAACATGGATATTTGCCATTCATGGGCAAATTCTTAACGGTAGTACCCCGTGAGTCGGTGTTATACTTCTATTACAATTTTCTCTTACAATTAAGAAAGGCTGCTACTGAAAATTGGTTTCCTATGTGTAAGTGAGCGATGTGATCATTAACATGGTATTAGGTTGTCCGGAAAGTTCTCAGCGTTTTGGGTGTTTCACTTTAAACGATCGTAACTTTTTTAATACTCATCGGATTTAATCGAAATAGGCACCATTCGAATCAGCACACTTTTGCCAATGTGACAGCAGTCGAGAAATCCCATCAAAGTAAAAAACTGGGTGGTCGAAAATTCACGAAATCCACGAAGGCTTTTTTGCCTGGTCCTGATTGATGAAGTATTTTCCAGCAAGGGAGTTCTGAAAATGTTAGAAAAGGTGATAGTCGGTTGGCGAAAGGTCTGAAGAATATGGCGGTTGAGGTAGAACTTCAACCCCCAATTCGTTCAATTTATGGATAGTGATTTGTGAAACGTGTGGGCGGGCGTTGTCATGCAAAGGAATCGGACCCTTTCTTTTGATAAGTGTTGGCTGCATCTGACAAAATTTTCGGTACAATTCGTCGATTTCTTCACAGTAGGGTTCTGCTGTGATGGTTTGGCCTGGTGATAAAAAGTTATAGTGGATCACACCAGCCGATGACCACCAAGCCGTGACCAGAATCTTTTTTTCGTGAGGGTTCGGCTTTGAAAATTACCTCGGTGGTTCGTCGAAATCCAACCACTGTCCGGAACGTCTCCTGTTATCATACATGACCCATTTTTCATCACAGGTGACAATTCGGCCCAAAAACAGGTCGTTTCTGCTGCGCAAAAGCAATGCAGAAGGAACCTCGAGACGTGCCGATTCCTGCCGGTCACTCCGATTGTGGGGCACCCAATTGTCGAGTTTTTTCACCTTCCCAATGCGTTCCAGACCATCTGCAACAGTGGATTTGCCAACGCCTAGCTCTTCTGCTATCTCTCGAACTGTTTGGGTCAGCCTCCAAAATCCCCCTAAAATCCTCGTCAGATATTGCTTTAGGTCGACCGCTATGAGGTTCATCTTCAAGGCTGAAATCTCCAGAACGAAATTTGTTGAGCCATTGCCGCACAGTGCTTTCTCTAGCACTATTGGGCCCCCACACCTGGTTAATTTGTTGAGCTGTTTCGATTGCGGATTGCCCAATTTATAGTCGAAGAAAAAAATCGTCCGAAGTGCTCTTTTCACATGCTTGAAAAAATCTTGAAAAAAGGGGTTTATCAAGCAATGGTGAAACGGCAATTATACCATCAGATAGCGCAAGAAATTCTCTACAGGATGTGCTACTGAGAAGCAAGGCAGAATGAGTTTTTAATCAGCAGTGAATGTACAAAAAATAGGTGCACAAAACGCTGAGAACTTTCCGGACAACCTAATACTTAATTTTAGCTGTAGTGCCATTTGTCTCTGGAACAACATCAATCTCCCAGTGTATTCAATATGTACACCCATAAAAGGGACGTTTAGCACCACTGTGCCGTCAAATCGCGTCAGCGCCAGAAATAAGTGTCAGAATCGTGATCAGGACCATCGATAACCCCTATAGACGAAGAATCGCTCAAAAAATTTTTTTTTTTCGACCTTCTTTCGGTTAAGGCGGACCATTTGGTCGACGATTATGACCGGAGTCTCACACCTTGCTAGCGGCGATGACGTAACGATGACGTAGCGCGCCGCCGGGCAGCCGTATCGCGAATTTGCTGCACCGAAGGTCCTTCCACGCAGCTATAAGCTCGAATGCATGTGGAATACGTAAACAACCATCGTGGACCTTTGTCGACCCCTAGCGACTACTTGCCGACGAAGGTGTCACTCTCCTCCAGCGATAGAACAGATTCATTCAACTTTCTCCACTTTCAAATGCACCTGGAGGGATGACTGAATTTTTCTTTTTCCAACGGTGTTATCCTTGTTGTTAGTTTTATGTTTACTCATCAATGAATGGGAAGGTTTGAATAACAGGCAAAGCACGATTAATAGGACTCGTGTGCACATTTCAACACACACACACCCAATAAGGTCGAAAAATTTTTTGAGCGATATAGGGGTTATCGATGGTCCTGATCACGATTCTGACACTTATTTCTGGCGCTGACGCGATTTGACGGCAGAGTAGTGCTAAACGTCCCTTTTATGGGTGTACATAATGAATACACTGGGAGATTGATGTTGTTCCAGAGACAAATGGCACTACAGCTAAAATTAAGTACCATGTCAATGATCATATCGCTCACTTACACATAGGAACCAATTTTCAGTAGCAGCCTCTCTTAATTGTAAGAGAAAATTGTAATAGAAGTATAACACCGACTCACGGGGTACTACCGTTAAGAATTTGCCCATGAATGGCAAATATCCATGTTATACTCATGCACAGACATTTATGGAAGCGAGGATAGCGAAACTAAAAAAATGCAAAAACTCGCACGCCTAGGGGAGTCGAACCATCAACACCCACCCTCACTGACCGATTGATAATCCTCCACGCTATCCACTAGGCCATCCGATCGTTGTAGCTGAACACCGCTCCGATCGTTGAAGAAACCATTCCGACAAGCCGCTCAGAGCCGTTCACTCTCAATCACGTGCGCAAGTAAGACCCCATTTGCGACTATTTTCCTCCTCGATTCCTATAGTGCCTTTATAAGGACCCTCTACTCAGCAACTGGTCAAAGTTGCAAGTGATTTGGAGCCCAGAGGGGCTCAAAACCAATCGGTTTCTATTCAATTCTTCTTCACTCCTTTTTTGGTATTCAAAGAGCCATTTAGGAAAAATGAACGTCAGTTTGGTAGTCCATGAACGTGCCCCTACACAATGCAAAAAACCGTTTTCAAAAAGCGCGCCACGTCCTGAACGACCTCCCTGGTAAGAGACAATCAGTAAAGGAACTCCCTTTTTTCCGCTGTTTGTTTTTAGGGGGGGGGTCGTACCGAACAGCCCAAGGAGGGTGTGTCGTACGGGCTCGACCAAAATCCCCAACTAATGCTGTGCCCTGCTCACGGAGTGCGGCCCAAGCGGATACCCTAGGCTGAAGCTGGTCCGAACCCATGTATATTCAGAAGCCGTCAAGCCCGCGCGTCTGATATACAAGGGTGCTTGATGCACAACTTGCCTTCAGTCGTGAAAATCGAACTGTGAATCATAGAGACCTTGTGAAAAGCTGAGCGGCTTGTCTCCTCCACCGTAATAGCGACTTTCGCTAGGAGGCTGGAACAAGTGATGCAGCAGTGGGAATTGGGCACCTGTTTCAGGGGCGCGATTACTGTAGGCCTTCTTCAACTCTGCAAGGATGAGGGATGGTTCACCTTGTCGCGACCGTGGACGTTGAAGTGTTGTGCTTAGTCGTGCTCACAGAGGAACACCCTAAGTTGTACATGAATCTGTCATGTACCGTGCTCCTTTTGTAAAGTAAGTTCTGAAAATGTACACCACAAGTAAAGTGTTATTTTTTTCCTCCTCCTCCCCGTGCAAAACGAATCGATTGGTTACCTGTTTCCTCGCTGAACATGGAGAATCACCTAGCGACAGAAGTTTTGTTTTTTGTGAGGACATATAATAATATTTGCAAATAGGTGCAATAACCACAAACTGTTGGAAAATTCCAACTTGTGCGCAGAGAACAGCAATTGATTGTGTGGAACAGGTACGGTTGGAGGACACAGCGCACTACAACTGATCAAATGAAAATTGGCACCCCGAATCAAGCGAAGCCTCCAGCTTCATAGGAATGGATGGCAGCTAAAGAAGTCTGGCTGTCGCTCCGTTTTTCCTCAGACGCTTGTGGGATACATAATGGAAGACGAAGCGCCTTTTAAAGTTTTTTTACGGCGTCAGACCTCAGCCCCGTTTGGCCGAGTTCAACCATTCATTGTTATTAATTGCCCACTATGCTAACAGATGTTTCTACCTACTGGCATTAATTGCAGGTAGGATACCTATTCTGTGAGCATTTCAGTGATTCTGGAAGGAGCTATGTGAAGGAAGTCATGGCCTGGTGGCAGGTCGCGCGCAAAAGGTGCTTTCCTCGTCACCGTCAAAAATCCTAAACTTGGTTTTTTTACGAATGAACGACATCTCCGAGAAACCTTATAACATGAGAGAGAGTTTCGCCTTTTTTGTTTGGTTCTCGGCGTTCCTGCATTACCTTAGTTACGGTCCAGATTAGCGAGAAGAGAACTCGCGTCCCCCAAGGATTTTCATCGTCGATTTGGGAACATCTCGTCTCCCGTGACCACTTAAGTACTTTCTTATGGAAGCCTCAATACAATTCAAGAATCCCCGTCACAAGCTTTGCAAAGCCTTGTTCTGGTCACAACCTTCCGAAATCTTCTGGACAATATTGGCGTGTGGGGTCGTGAACGAGCAGTCTCCGCCTGAACGATGCAAACTGACACAAAGCTGAACTCAGAATGCTCTGTTTTGGGGGGGGGGGGAGGGTCGTATAGACGGGCCAGTCTTCATCAGCGTGACCTTACCTGGTGGCCAAAGGCAGTGGGCCGTTGTTGATCGATAGCAATGGGTCAACTAGTAGTCGCTCGCTCGGTGATTAAGTACTTTATGAATGGGGTCGCGAAAAGTGACTGTCTATCAGAACAGAAGTTTCGTGACCAAGTGGCAATTACCACCATGGTTGCGAAAATCCTCGTCTTTCCAAAAAATTTTCACCCTCCTCAGCTTCACAGGATTCAAATCCCGAATCCGAAGTCGAGTCATCAAAATGGCATTTTCAAGCCATTCACCGTCATATTGTGTGAAATAGTAGCAGAGTTCTTCAGTATATTTGGTCATGGGACCTATACCGCATTTTCAACTGCACTTTCCAGAAACCCTATTCAAAAGTATCAAAATGGTCACGGAATCATATTCTCGGGAGCACAACTGATATAACTGCAGTTTCAACTAAAAATAAAGAAAAACAAAATAGGGGAAAAGAATGCACTCCAAAGCACAGATGATCCGTTTCGCCCGTCACCGCAGACGAATCATCGTTGTCTTATCTTAGCAACCCCCGGGCTCGTCTAAAACCACTCGGCTTGAAATTCCAAATGGGACTGGAGAATTTACGGCGCAGCTTGTTTTTCAGAGGCTATGTAGCCCTTTTTGAATACTGATGAGTAGCGCCTCCATGAACTGATCTTAATTACTGGTCATTCTTAGCAATTGTATTACTTGAACCCGATTCTTTTACTTTAACTCGGACCAAAATGAGTGTGAATCTTGCTGTTAGTCCGGACTGTTCCGCAGCATCACAAGGCCATCGCCAGGAGCTAAACGACTACTAATGGCAAGACAAAGGCAAATGAAAGGAGCGCGCGTTAATATTTCTCCGAGCTAATAGAAATTGCAACTGCCAAACGCTGTTTTCAGTTTTGCTAATGCATCACTGTAATTGAATTTAATCGGCTAAGTAAGCTAAATCACGCATTTAGGCGGAACAGTCGCATAATAGTGGTAACGCTAGAAGTAGTATAAAAAGGAGAAGTTGTTGTAGAATGGCAGCTCAATGTTCGAAGAAAAACTCATCATATTTGCAGCTTCTGCATTATCCACTGTGGCCATCGTCGCCTGCCTGATTGTGGTACCATCGCTTTACAACGCCATCAACGAAATCCACGATGAGGTCCTTGAAGGAGTTTCGGTTTTCCGTGTTGAAACGGACTCCGCTTGGACACATTTGATGGACTTCCAAGGTATTGTCGCTCCGCCAGCAAAGCCTCGTCAGAATCCGTTCTCCTCCATCTTCCGTGAAAGGAGACAGACTGGTCTGCCGTCGTATTGCCAGTGCACACCTCCAACGGTCAGTTGCCCGCCTGGACCTCCTGGACCTCCTGGTCGGCCTGGATCACCTGGTTAGTACATGGTCTACCTAAGTATGGCTTGGTTTAAATTATTTATAGTGATTTTCTTTCAGGACCACCTGGAGCACCTGGTCAGCCTGGAGCGCCCGCGACTACTACACCTGCCCCTATTCAATGTCCCGCCCCGAGCACCGGTTGTATTACCTGCCCACCTGGACCACCAGGACCACCTGGGCCAGCAGGATCGCCAGGAGATAAGGGATCCGACGGAAAGCCAGGTAATGCAGGACCACGCGGTGATGGTGGACAACCTGGACCTGCTGGACCACCTGGAGATGCTGGATCGCCGGGAAGGCCTGGTCCTGATGGGCAACGCGGACCACCTGGACAACCTGGCACCTCATCGACTAACACTCCTGGTGGTCCTGGACCCGCTGGGCCACCGGGTCCTCAAGGAAAACCAGGAGGTCCTGGAAGTGCTGGAAGTCCGGGACAAGCTGGTGGTCCCGGACCAGCAGGACAGCCCGGAGCACCTGGCCAGCCTGGACCTGACGGACAACCAGGAACGCCAGGAGGGACAGCCCCACCAGGAGGTGACGCCGCTTACTGTCCATGCCCACCTCGTTCAGCTGCCTTGGCTGGACGTCGTATGGCTGTTCGCCACTGATTTCCCGTCGTTTGTTAGAAAAAAAACGTTTCATTTTGAAATGAAAACTGCTGTTAGCTCGTTGTCGTCTGCGTGTATAAAGCATTACACAAACCCTTCCAACCAGTAAGAATCAAACATTATTGGAGAAGTTCTGAGGATCAGAACTTGTTTTTGTTATGAAAGATGAGAGGGCGGCCTGAGTGATTAATGGTTAGCGCAATTTCACGGGAAGGGTGAGGTGCGGGTTCGAGTCTGGACTGAGGTCAATCCTGTGGCCTAGTTTGAAGGGTAACATGATGACAATCAAACAAGATATTTATTAATTAAATTAAACGTATAGTTATTGGTTTTTTCTTCTGAACAATGACAGAAAGAAAGATTTCTTCTTTGGTGTTGACACGTTCGTCGGTTCAGACATATGCAAGTTCGTTGCACTCGGTACAACAACCAAATCAGTTTGTTCTTTAGAGGGGATTTTCTGCTTGGAGCCCTTTTCTGTTCCCTTGGAGTCCTGATGTGGGGCGCTGGCAACCGACTTAGCCGTGCTCTTGTGATCCTTTTCTGCTGAATTACGTCTTCTGCTATGATTCGCGATGACTGCCTTAAAATCCGAGCTTTGATGGCGTGCTGTTGGCGGTGGTCCCGCACTAATTCTAGGTTCTCGAGCAGTTTTAGAAGGCTGCAGTGCTGGCTGCATCGACTTGAGCTTCCGCTCCGAGGAGGTGGTATCTGGAGAAAGTAACTCTCTTGAGTCTTCTGCGGATGGCTTCAATTTTAGCAACGAAGCACGAAGTCGTCGTGGCGTCAGAGATGTCTGAAATATCGTGCCCTATATGTGACAACTTTGTTTAAGCATATGTGTGCATATGATATTGAGGGTCAAATAAAGAATTTAAGTCAAAAGCATTAGGCACGATGTCGTTATGTGCAGCTTGTCAGAGTGCTATATAGTGGGGTAAATGGCGAAAGAGCGAAGTGAAGCGGTCAAAACACGTGAAAAAGCCTTTGCCTTTCTACGCGACTCGGACAGCTGTTTCGGACAAGCTTCTCGCTGGCATTGTGCCGCTAACCGCTACGGTAGACATGGCTGGATGTAGGCCGCTCATATGTCGGCTTGCCAGCACAGCTCGCATTCAACTATCCCATCCCTCTAGCTTCATATTAGACCTTGCAAATAGACGTGATATGAGCACCAGCTCATCATTCGGACAGCATCTTGGGCGGGCGGCGCGTAGCGTCCGTGGGTCGTTATGTGCAGCTTGATGAAGGGTGCTGAGGTAGCCTGCCTTGGAAAAGGATCACCAGCGCCTGTTAGGGGCGACCCCGAGTTGTGTCCTTCGCCGTTATGCGAATCTTTAGAGCTTGGTTTATTTATCGTCCATATCATTTGAGCCCTCGAAGGCAGCCATCCTGGACTCTTTCAGCAGACAAATACAATACATGATTATGGAGAGTCTACCTTTAATAATACTGTTCACTCACGGTAAAGTACATCATTGTGTTTTGGTGTAGTGTTCAACCGTTTACGAGCATTCGGTGAAGAATACTGCGTACTTTCCAGCTCCAGCTCTGAATGCTGACCTGTTCGAGAGCAACAGTGCTGGAGTTTGTTCGGATGCTTTAGAGGGGGAGAATGAGACACGATCACTCTTTCGAGAATGCATTCGTACCAGCATGTGTAAAGTACTGCGATTTTCAGTGCAAACGTTGACGAGGCACTCTTCGTGATAAAGTGTCACATGAAAATTTTCGGACATGCCCAGGATTTGTTGTGTGAAATTGTGAGAAACATTCAGAATAGAACATTTCTGAGATAAATCATTGTGAAGAGGCTATATGGGGAATAATCGATACAGCCACTTCAAAATTGTGGAAGCTCTATTCCGACCCTATTCTGCTGTCGATAAGGTGTCGATAACGGGCATTTCACATAGGTCGCACCAAATAGTTCGTCGATAAAGAGTAGTTTCTCATCCTCAGGGACAAACCCCGCGATCAACATTCGTAGAATCCCTTCCTTGCCAAAGAAGTTCGTTGCGTAATCGTAAAGACTGGCTCACCTTCGCGGCTCCACAATGAGTGAATTAGGGCACCGCGGCCTTCTTAAGTTGCAGTTATACACGGTATACCGCACGACATACCGTATATAACTGCAATCTAATATAACCGCAGCTCCCCGTTACTCACTGTAGAGCCGCTGAGGTGGGACAATGTTTGTGATTATGCATCAAGCTATTTCGGCAAGGAAGGAATCCTACGAAATGGTTGAGCGCGGAGACTCTCATCAAGAATTCTTTGAAGGCACTGGACACGATCGCTGTGGGGGGGGGCGGTTGTCGCCAACGTCACTAGTGGAAGGGATGGCCGAATGCCCTCTCGCGGCTCTTCCATCAATGACGTTAGCAACCACCGCCCGCCTTTAGGAATCGAAGCCACTGTCTCTAAGATTGCATATTCACTATTTTGCAGAGACTTCACGAGTATGTGCAAGTAGCTGTGTTGCTGACACATTACATATTGTCAGAATAAGAAAATACACTCACGATCATTGGGCTGTGTTCCTCCGACCCCCTCGCCAACGTCCTCAGGTGTCACACTAGGTGGGGTTGCCAGTAGCTGAAATAAGCTGAGTAATGGAAACTTCCGTCAGCTGTGTGATCTAGGGCGTGTCTCCGAACAAGTTAGCATCGAAAAGAATTGAGCACTCAGTGGGTCTCTGCCTGTCACTAGAGTGAATCCTTTGTGAACTTCCATACTCTGCCGTATTCAAAAAGCTCTCTTTAATTTTTCAAATGTACATTTCAAAGACACATTTCCTGAGTACAATGTGTACATCTTTATGCTATGGTTGGGGCTAGATAGAAGAACGCGCGGTCAGACTCGAAGGCACTTGGCACGATAAATCTCTGAGAAGAGTAGGACTGATACCGCCTGGCAGGACGGAATTCCGCGACCCTGAGCAGGTGCTGCGTAGCGCCTTTTCCGAGGGAGGTACCCTTTAAGGGCCCTACCAAGCTACAACATACCATGGATAAAGGGGTGCCAAAAAAAGTCACTTTTCTTCATTGACTTTCGAGGCGCTATAAGTTACACTTTATTAAATTCTGATCGGACATTTTTACCACCATATTAAAGAGCATATTAAATACTATCATGACACTCCGCCACAGCCTTCTGGACGAGCGCCATTCTGGCACGCGACCGCGATGTGGTGCCTGAGATCAGCGAGATAGTCGATTTCTCCGCCACCGTAGACCACCCTATTGAACTCCGCCCGAACCGGTAATTGATGATTCAGGTCAGGTGA